CTCTACAATAAATCAAAAATATTAACCAGTTATGGTGGTGCACACCTATGGTTCCAGATATTTGGAAGACTGAGGCAGAAAGGATCACCTGAGCCCAGCAGCTTGAGGCTGCAGTAGCTGTAAGCGTGCCACTGCTCTCAAGCCTGGGCAACAGAGTGAGACTCTGACTCAAAAAATATATATATACAAAAAATTTAAAAAACAAAGTCCTAAGATTCTTATATTTATTAAATATAAGATTAAATCTATAATTTATAATAGATTAAATCTATAATTTTTTTAAAAAGCTGTCCAACAGAGAAAAGTCCTAACCAGATATCTTCCTCAGTGTACTAAAATACACACTGAATTTAAGAAATTTAAACATAAGTCATCTAAATATTCTTCCAGACAACACAAAGAATGGGAACAAGATATTAGCAATCAAACCCAGTTACATATGCAAAATAGCTAAGACAGACTGTCCAGGTCTAAACTGGGATTATTTCAGAAATATAAATTGCGTTTAACATTGGGAAATAAAATAATGTATTTTACCATTAAAAGAATAAAGAAGAAGACTTTTCTAATGATCTCAAAATGATAAAAGCATTTGATCACATTTCACAGCTATTCTATTCATGACTTTAAAAAATAGCAAAAATTCTGAGCTAACTAGAAATAGTAAATTATTTCTTTAATCTAGTAGTGTATATCTATAACAAACTTCCAGCAAACTTTATATTTAAGAGTGAAATGTTGATGGTGCTCCCACTGATATTAAAAACAAGACAAGAATGGCCCCTACTCTAAATGTAATTCAACTTTATGTTCAAGATATATTGCCCATGGCAATAATGAAAAAATAAACCACATAGAATTTATGAGAATGGGAGAAGAAGAAATTAAACATCATTGTTTATAAATGACATCATTATTTACATAAAAAGCCAGTGTAATCTACAGATTAAGTATTTGAATTAATAAGTAGGTTTAACAAGATCTTTGGATAGTAGATAGAAATCGCTTGTATGCTATAACACCAGGAAATAATTACAAATAAAATTTAAGAAATTTTACCATTTACAACATTAAAATGATTAGATACCTGGAAATAAACCTTTAACAAATATTTAAGAGAACTCTACCCAGAAAACTATGAAATATTATTGAAAGAAATTAAAAATATCTAAATAAGAGGCCTTTAACCTGATCATAGATTTCAAGATTCAGCATTGTAAAACTTCTCCTCAAATAGATTTATATGATCCAGTACAATATCAGTAGAAATTCAACAAGATTATTTTTTGTTTGGTTGGTTGATTGGTTTTGGGGATGTGGAGGAAAGTGGAGGTTGACAAACTTTTTCTAAACGTTATATGCAAATATAAAAGACACGTATAGCCAAGGCAGTATTGAAGTTGAACAAAATTAGAGGACATATTTGACTTTTTTTTTTAAAAAACTGCAGCAGTTAGGACAGTGTGATATTATTGCAGTAACACCATGGTTACAGAATAGGAAATCCCACCCAAATTTAAATGGATACTTGATTAGAAACTCACCCAAATTTAAATGGAAACTTGATTAGGACAAAGTTGGCAGTAAAGCTCACCATTGTGTACTTGGTTAATTGGGTAGCTATATCATTTCATTGTCTATTTTAGCAAATCATTTCAAAATATTAAGACAATGGCATTGATTATCTCACTACTCTTTGTGTGTGGATAAAAATTTAAGGAAAAATAACAGAATAGTTTGACTAAAGAGTTCATAGGGGATGACAGTCAGACAGTGACAATTTGGAATATCCTGGGAATGTTGTCCAGGACTATCTCCCGCCCTTCTACCTTTCCTCCCTCTTCCTCTCCCTCCCTCTCTGACTTTCCCTCCCTCCCACCTTACCACCTTCCCTCCTCTCTATCTCCTTTCCTGCCCTGCCTTCCGGGTCTTTTCCTTCCCCCTTTCTTTCTCTCCCTCCTCTCCCCTTCTCTGTCTCTCCCCCCTTTTCCCACTTTCTCTTTGTAGTCTCAGTCATTCTCCATTTCATCTTTCCATGTTGAATAGTTGGGGATTCCAAACATCAGGTCAGAGAGATTCCAGCATAGTGGTTCAGGTCTCTAATGCACATTTTCCACAAAGTAAGGTGGAAGCTGCCTTGCCTTTTATAACTTAACTTCATAAATGGGCAGCATTACTTCACTACATTTTATTTAATACTAGTCAAGAATAAACCTGCTTCAAGGGAAGTGGATGTAGCCCTCAACTTGTGATAGAAAAGAAGGCAAGATCAGATTGTAAAAACAAATGTGTGGGAGTGTAGTTATTTTTTAATCGCTCTTTAGAAAAATACAATCTATGAAATGTACCAAAAAATGAAAATGACCACCTACTTCAAACTAAATTCAATTTTAATATTACTGTTTTAAGGAGTACAAAAGGAAAGGTCTTCATGATTTTGGTGAAAGCTAACATTTTTATAGAGAACAAAAAAATTATACCATAAAAGAAAAGTTTGATAAATGTTAGTCTTTTAGTAAAATTATGAGCTTTGGTTCATCAAAAGATTATATTAACAGAGGAAAAAGTCAAAACAGAGTGGGAGGGCCTATTTGCAACTTATAACCTAAAAATGACTTAAGAACTTTTATGAATCAATACAAAATGGGGAAACGACTTTAGAGAAAGTTGGGCAAGAGACTTTAATAGTCACTTCACAAAAGACGATATTTAATTGGTCAATAAACATAAAATTCGCTGAGTTTCACTAGTAACCAAGGGAATTCAAGTTAAAATCTCAGTGCTATACCACTATGCTTCTACCAGAATGGCTCAGACAATTGACAGTACTCAATGTTGGTGAGAAAATGGAACAACTCAAAAACTCTCAGATTGCTGTTGAGAGTCAGGGTTGATAAAATCACTTCTGCTGTCTATTGGTCAATATTGACTATGATTCAGACTTCCTTTTAGTGGTTTATAACCAACTGGCAAATGTTTATCTAACCATAAAAGCCATTTACAGCAATATTATTTCAAATAGCCCAAACATTGCTAGAAATAGTAAACTGGAAACAAGCAAAATATTCACCCAGTTTAGAATGAATAAATTGTGTTATTTTATGCATTCCCATCACCGGAATGGATTCTTGGCAAGTCCCTTTTGCTTGCGTCACTAGCATCTGATTGATAACCTGGGGCTGTGCTTTTGTTTGGTGGAGCCTAGGCTATATACACAGTCTGGCTTCAAGACAGACTAATAAAGAAAAAGTATCCTGCGTTTGAATCTTGTGTTGTGTTTCATAGAATGCGATCTTTGGTACATAGGAAGAAACTTTAGATGTCTCCAAAATGAATGGCAGAATATCCACACATCACAGTTGTATGTATTTCTTTGAGCTTTTGTTCTCAGCAAGGTCTACTAACAAGCCCAGGATTTCCGCACACCTGAACTATATACAATGGTTTCGTAGTCATTTACTCCAGTAAGGAGTAATAGAGTGACAAGTGTCCCACATTCTAAAATATAGTTAGGTTTTTGTAAGCTTAGCCTTGTTCCTTCTTGGTAGTTAATCTTTGCTCTGAGTGGTCAGTTAATTCTTATCACTGATAAAGATAATTTTTACTATTTGCTACTATACTAGAAAATGTTGGTAATTTTGACATTGAGGTAAGTTTTTTTTTCCTTCTGCATTTCATTCTCATTTTTTGAGTATATGAAAGGGAACAATCACCATGATGTGCAAATAAAGATATTTAGATCTTTTTATCTGACCTAATATTATCTCCCTTAATTCAATAGGCATTTTTTTCTCTTACATTTTAACATCTTTAACACTTGTTTGCATCTTACAATAAATAGAACATCATAGTTACATTCGTAACATTTTTCCTTTTTAATGATATACAGACTAATTTTGCATCATATAAATAATATCTTAGAATTGGTAAAATAAAATAAATATAAAATAATAATTAGTTATGAATATATGATCAAGGTCATTGCATGATTAGACCTCATAGCTATAAAATCTTTATTAATATTATAGACCTCAGACATCAAGGAAGTTACACAAACTAACAGAAACTTTCACTTCCACCCGTCTATTTTTACAGCTGTGGTGTTCTTCTCTGTTCATAAACAGCACCTGCAGCCTCTTCCACAGCCTCCTGGGGTGTGTGAAATATACAAGGGGATCCTCAGTCCTGTCAGGGACCTCTGTCATCAGCTTTCCTGATCCCACAGAGAGCCCACATTGTCCTTTCCCTTGCTTGATTAGTTCAAAGATCAGTTACCCTATAAGACTTCACCTCAGATTTAAACAAATAAACCTTTATAGCCATGATTATAATGTGTTTTTCTGTGTTGACATCCTCCATCAGAAAGAAAGAATCCTTTATTTCACACTCCTTCCTTTCTCTACTGCTGGGTGATCAATCCTAACAATTGCTTATGTTTGTATTGTGATTAATGGCTTTCAATACACATGGGTGCGTATCACAGCCCTTAACTTTCACAGCAAATGTGTGTCTTATTGAAGGCTGATTATTCTCATTTTATAGATAAGAAAACAATCCTTAACTAAGCTCCCATAATAGTGGATTTGAAATTACAGTTGATTTCTAAAATTTCAAATCGGTTGTTTTGCCTTCTGCACTCTGACCTTAAATATACAGACTCTGAATATTTCAACTTCCTCACTTCTCTCTTTTCTTGAGTTTATATTTAATGATCTTTTAATAAACAGTATGAACAAACAATAGTTCATTTTAGTGTTTCCTAGATACAGACACAATGGATTTGCTGTATATCTGATATCTAGTATTTTTATCAATTAATTAATTCACTTTCAATGTAGATTGAGAAATAATCCCACAAATTAATTGCTTTGAGAAGGGGAGGAATGTAGTTTTCATGTCATTTGTTTTCAAAATAGAAACTAGGTTTTAAAGAATATAATTGAAGTTAACATTGATCTTATTCTCCTATAATCTTTTTTTTAACACCTCTTTTATTCTAGTTATGTTTCGCCTTTATGACACGGATGGGAATGGCTTCCTGGACAGCTCGGTAATTTTTTCCTTCAAATTTTCTGTGAAAATTTCAAAGAGTTTCTTCGGAAAAATGCAATGAATAAATTTATAGCTATTACCACAGAAGGCACACTTAATATAATTTACATACAGTCATACAGCATTTTTATCTTCTGATTTTTTGAGAGTGAATGAGCTGAGGAAACTTAGGGTTATGATTTTTCTATTGAACAGTTTTGCTACAAAAACATGACTTTGTTTCCCTGCACTGAACTTAGTTTACAAAAGAAGATGCCAAATGTTTCTGAATAAAACAAAATTGAGACCACTGATTTGGAAAGAAGGAAAAACTATCTGTGAGATTTGACACCAAGGAAAATATTGAGACTACAAGTAGAATTTAAAGGAATTTTTAAAAATTATCTTTTTTTAACTTTTAAAAAGTATTCTTAGCCTAAATGTGCATTTTGAAATAAGTAAATATATACATTGCTTTGACAAACTTCCCTTTTTAAAATTTCTCATCTAATTTTATAGACAGCTTACACTCTATAGTTTTAGTCATAAAAATAGAAGAAATATATCATCTCTATAAGATTAACTGAAAGGAATAATTAAATGTTTACTTTATTTGTAACATATTGAAATCTTTTGCTAGTTTTCCAAGGAGTAGAAAGTAGACTCTTAGTTCTAGTGCACAAATCAGTACCGCTCATGAAAATCCATGTCATATCACATCCAATCATTTATTTTATATTTGTTGGCAACATATTTTGCATATTATATTATTTCTTGTTCTATCAATACAAGATAAGAATGCTTATAAAAAGAATTAGCATTATATTCTGGAAATTTTGAATTGCACAGGTACTTTAAAAAAGCAAATGTTTTGATATATTTATAATATCCAAAATAGATATTATCTCTGATAACGAGTGAGTTTTTTCATGTAATGGACCACTGTATTGCAGAGCTTGAGTAGACTTTTACAAGCAAGTGATGAGGTTGGCGACATAGTTATGTAAAGTTGAATAGGATAATGGTATACTAACTTCTTCAGAGAGAAATGAAAATATATAATTCCTATTCTAGGAAGTGACCACCACTCTGAATTGATGTTGTGATTATGGGATTTCTTATGTTTAAGTCTCAGTGATTTTTCAAATGCTATCATTTTTAAGTTCCTAGTTGTCTTCAGTTTCCCATTTAGAAATATCAAGCTACATCATAAACTAGCTTATTTTTTTATGTCATTTCATAGCAAGAAATTTAGATTTCTTCCGTACTTTAATATGCTTATTGTAGCATTTGTGATTATACGCATGCAAATTATATTTTAATGCAGAGCTGATTTAATGATTTTTTAAAATTAAATTAAAATAATGCTTCTTTTCTAGGCATCTTTTTAATTTAATTAAAAAGAAGCATGGGTTGGCAGCTAATTTGAAAATTCAGTCAAATCTTTTTGGTGTCTGACCATTTTTTTGTTAACATATATGATAGTTTACTAGCAATATTTAGAACTATATTCCCAATATTAAACAATGAGTTGGAGATAAATAGATCTGGTTTTGGCTAAACTACATTTTTAAAAAAAAAATTAAAGGTCTGTATTTAATTTCTAGAATTTTCTCTGCATAACTGACTGCTCCATTGTATTTGCTTCCATATCAGGTTCAAATTATACCTTTTGACATTATCTTGGTACCTTAAAGGTGTAGCAGTTTACCTACTGGAAGCAAAAAAGAAAGAAAATAGATAATTTGAAAAATGACACTATAGCTAATAGTGATAGTTAAGTTTATTGATCATTTGTAATATGCCAAACAACAAGATAAATGTAACACATAATAACCTGTTTAATCTTTGCAGCCATTTTATAAACTAAATAACATTAGAATATCCATTTTGCTGATAAGAAAACGGAATCTTAGAGAGGTGAAATACTTATCTAGTGTTACATGTCTATATAATGGTCCACCAAAAATAGTTTCTCTTCTTAAAACATATCCAGCAACTTGCCCTTCCAAATCATTAAGGCATGTATAAGCAAAGATAGAGTAAGTGAGAGACCAGTTACACACACACAATTTTAGCCTATAATTCCAAGGAATTTGTGTTTTAAAATGTGCTATCTGTACTAAATGCATTTATATTTGTATTGTTTCTGGCGCAACTTGTCCTACATAAGTGACATATTCATTACTACTTTTCTTCTGGAGAAAGGGAGTATAGCATTCATTAGTTGCTCAAAAAGACTTATGGCCTCCCAAAAGACAGTCTCTTTGATCTTATTTCCTCTCCATTCCATGAACATTGACTACATATATTAGAGATTTGAGTAGAGTAACCTTTGATTAATATATTTATTCTTTATTCTTTTTACACTTCTTATCTTTAAATTACGCTACAAAACACCACTTTTCAAATTATGTCATGTCTACATTTAAAATTACAAGCATTTTAGAAAGCCATGTTTAATATTTTCTGGAAATAAATAGGAAAAAATGTAAACATTAAATAAATAGGTATGAAAATATTTTAATGTATTTAGCCAAGCCATATGTATTAACTAGCAGTTCTTCAAAGAGTTGACATTTGAGTAGGAAAATATAAAAATTCAAACTAAGATTCCATCCTTTCACAAAATAAACTCTGCATATACTTAGCTTCCAAACCTTGACCTTGAACACTCCTCTGGCCGAGCAAATTATCCAATAAATGACTGCAACAGTCAATATATGTTCTCAGTGTATCAAAATAAAAATAAACCTCTCAGTTGCCCTCAAATGCCTCTTTCCACTCTTACACATCTGTTTTCTAGGCAAAGGGTTAGGAAATTCAGTGACTTAAAAATCACATCATGTGAAAATACGTATCTGCTCCTGCTTATGTCAGACACCACTTTCCTGGAGAGGAATATCTTTTTTGGTGTAGTTGTGCCCTCTCCTGGTGAACATTTCTAGACAAAGTAAAAGATAAATTTATAGTCAGGATTCTCTTTTCCATATAGTTAATCAGTCATTTAGAAAGGATTATACAACCTATGTGTATGTGTGTGTGTGTGTGTGTATAATATATATATCCCTACCTATGTATAGGACCCTCTCCAATTGATGATGTAACTCATTTAATTTTCTGAGCTACATGTTGAACAAAGCAATTTCTATAAATCAAAGATTGGAAACTTACTAAGATCTTGCATTAATTTTCTCTCTCTCTAGCTCTTTCTCATTCGGTCTTTCTTTCTCTCTCTCTCCCCCCTCCAGGAGCTAGAAAATATAATCAGCCAGATGATGCATGTTGCAGAGTACCTTGAATGGGATGTCACAGAACTTAATCCGGTGGGTATATGAATGATTTACGTGTTGGATACATTCTTGAAGGCCCCTATCTTTTTTGTCTTTTCTGGGATCCTAATATATTATTGTCATTTGATTTTCTCTTTGGTAACTCTGAGTTACTAGTTCTAATATGCTTTCCCAGCATCCAAGGATGATCTGTTTGGAAGTCATAGATCATTTCCATTAATAATGACACAAATAATGCTATATGGCATTTACTATGTATGTCAGAGACTCTCCTGCTTACAGTACATGAACTTGTTTAATCCTAACAATAGCCCTTCAAAGTACAAAGATTGTCAGGATACCACAGAGAGGTAAATGTATTACAAACATACACTATGGAGAACTTTGCGACATCAAAGTTATCTTTAGAAATGGAAGTCTAATCAACTATGATTTGATCCTTTAACTTCTTGGCTCTATTAAGTTCTGATAGCCAATTAAAAGCAACTTAATTCCCTCGTCTCTTACTACTTAGAAAAGAATTATTTGAGCTCTTTGCCATGAAGTTAATTTGTTCAGACATTTTTTGGCATATATATGAATCTAAAAGAAATCATCTGGGGAAACTAATTAAAGATCACTTTCACCCTTAAATTAAAGATATCTTCTTATTTTAGCCATGCTAGTCATTGGAAAAATATTAAAAAGCAAAGTACTTATTTCTAAAATGTGATCAGTGTAAGTGGTCAGGTTTTTGAAATCACAGCAGTTACTATTTCCTCAGTAATAGAATTAATGTACTGAGTTACCAAGACATTTATCCCTGCTAGTTACCATTCGTTACAACCAACTCAAGCGCTTTGTGGTAGCATACGAAATTAATTTTGTTGATTGCACATTTTTCCTCATCTTCTCTACTCCAGATCCTCCATGAAATGATGGAAGAAATCGACTACGATCATGATGGAACGGTATCTCTGGAGGAATGGATTCAAGGGGGAATGACAACGATTCCACTTCTTGTGCTCCTGGGCCTAGAAAATGTAAGCATTTGCACAAAGGAGGATGGCCTGGTGGTACATCCCTGGAGTTCTCTGTTACACATTTGGATTACAAGTTCATCTGTCCATTTTCTAGCATGAAGCAGGCAGTGAGTGCCTGGAACTTGTAATAAGTATATCACAGTGCAATGTAAAAATAACTTCTTGTGCAGTAATACTCATCACAAACATATCATTTATTTTAGTTATTGCCATAGGATTAAAAATATTTTTCTCTTTTGTTTTCCTCTATTTAAACTGAAATCTAGTGGTTTTTTTTCTTCTTTAAAGTTATTGCCTCATATCATCTAAAGCAAGAGTCCCTGACATTTAATGTATTTTGTGGTTCTCATGGTGCTATTCCATCCGATTCAACATCCCCCCCCCATGAATGATACAAGGAGGCAGCAATTAACTATCTCAGGTGATTGAGAGGGTGTGTGTGTGTGTGTGTGTGTGTGTGTGCGCGTGCGTGCGTGTGTGAAAAACATGAGTTTTCCTCTATCCACAGGTCAGACAGGCTCTTATTCTAAGCATGTTAAAGTTTTCTTGTGTTAGTGTTTCCATTTACAATTAAATACTGATTTTGAGGAATAAAATAAATCAACCTAAGATCAGAATGTGATACATTAGTGACCTTGAAACTAAATCTTACTGATCCAGCCTTAAGTGGATTTAGTGATTATTAATTTAAAAATCAAATGAAATCTAGGGTCATATGAGATTTTTGAATTGAGCATTAACAGTTAAACAAGAATGAACTATAACATGTATATTAGATGCAAAGAGCATTAGGGATGGAAAGAACCATGGCATTTAGAATTTTGAGATACAGAACATAGTGTCCACTACTTTGCTGCTGACCCCAAAAGTTTTCATACTCCTTGTGACCAGCAAAAACTGTTTTGCAGATGCAAGGCTATATCACATTTATTCCAGACTCCAAATTTTTATTTGTTTATTTATTTAGTTAGTTATTTGAGTCAGTCTCACTCTGTCACCCAGGCTGAAGTGCAGTGGCACGCTCATGGCCACTGCAGCCTCCCCCTGCTGGGTTTAGGCGATCCACCTCAGCCTTCCAATAGCTGGAACTACAGGCATACACAACCATGCCTGCTTAATTTTTTGATTTATTGTAGAAACAAGTTTTCACCATGTTGCCCAGGCTGGTCTCGAACCCATGGATTCTGGCAATCCTCTCATCTCGGCCTCCCAAAAAGCTGGGATTACAGGCATGAGTCTGCGCCCAACCCATACTCCGCCAACTTTTAAAAGTTAGTTCCCAAGATATCTTCCTGTCTATGTTTGTGAAACATATGAGTGTATATCAAAATATATGTATGTATATGGGTTTAAGAATATGTAAGTGAGCTTTAGGAATATAAAAATTGAGCTTAGGGTTTAGGAATAAGTACGTGGGCTTCAGGAGATTGCCATTTGGTTCTTTTTTTTTTTTTTTTAACCTAGTTCTTCAAATTCTTTTATACACAGTTGAATCTTACCCTTCATAAGATCTATGGGGTTTTAGACATAGTCAGAAGAAGGAAAATGAAAAATACCATATTGGAAATTAAGCTTAATATGCATTAAAGCAAAATATAATAAATATAAAAGTTATTGTTAATAAATACATCTCTCAGCCGGGCTTGGTGGCTCAGCCTGTAATCCCACGTCTTTGGGAGGCTGAGGTGAGTGGATTGCCTGAGACCGCGGGTTCGAGACCCGCCTGGGCGGCGAGACCTCATCTCTATAAAAAATCAAAAAATCAGCCGGGCGTGGTAGCGCGTGCCTGTAATTCCGGCTACTCGGAAGGCTGAGGCGGAAGGATCGCCGGAGCCCCCAGAAGGTCGAGGCTGCGGTGGCCGGGAGCGGCCGCTGCACTCCAGTCTGGGTGACCGAGTGAGACTCCAACTCAAAATAAATAAATAAATAAATAAATACATCTCTCCACACTTTACAAATTTATGAAATAATGTTTCCTTGAACTTGTATTTTTTTTCTTTTTTTTTTGTTTTGAGTCAGGGTCTCTGTTGCAGGTTAGAGTGCGGTGGCATGATCAGGGCTCACTTCGGCCTCCAACTCCTGGGCTCAAGTAATCTGCCTGCGTTGGCCTCCGAAGTAACGGGATGACAGGCATGCACCATCACACCCGCATACCTGGCTAATTTTTTTAAAATGTTTATTACAGACCAGATATTGCTATGTTGCCCAGGCTAGTCATAAACTCTTGGGTGCAAGCAGTTCTCCCGCCTTGGTCTTTCAAAGTGCTGGGATACTGGCATGAGCCACTGTGGCTGGCTTCAATGTTCTTATTCTATACATAATCGAGTACCTTTTTATGATACGTTCTTTATATTACAAATATTTACTTAATTGTTCATGTGCCTTATGACGAAAGTATTATGTAAATGAGACTACTGGGAGAAAACAAAAGGAACATTGACAAAATGTTACTTAATGTATAATTTATACTGAAAACTAGTCTGATTATTCTAGTTAGGAAATTCCAGTGAAAATGATTTTCTATAAGGGAATTCTATATTTTTAAAGTTAAAAGTTGTATATTATAAATATTTATGGAAATTGTAGCATGAGAGAAGCAGGAAAAATGCAGAAAATGAGTGAACAAACCATATGGTAATTGGAGTGGGAGAGAAAAGTGAAGACAGAGAATCACCTGTCATTTAATATCACAGAAAGGTTTTTGAAATGAAGATTTTCTTTTTCTTTTTTTCTTTTTTCTTTTTGTTGAGTTGGAGTCTCACTCTGTCGCCCAGACTGGAGTGCAGTGGCCGCTCCCGGCCACCGCAGCCTCGACCTGCTGGGCTCCGGCGATCCTTCCGCCTCAGCCCTCCAAGTAGACGGAATTACAGGCGCGTGCTACCACGCCCTGCTGATTTTTTTTTTTTTTTGATTTATTGTAGAGATGAGGTCTCTCTGCCCAGGCGGGTCTCGAACCCTCGGGCTCAGGCGATCCACTCACCTCAGCCTCCCAAGGCGCGGGATTACAGGCTGAGCCACCGAGCCCGGCCGAAATGAAGTTTTTCTTTGGAACGATTGTCTAGATATTCTTTAAAATTTAACTTATGAATTTAGATATTTGTAAAGCTATAACAATAGAATGGGTAACACAGTTCCCAAGTCTATATGGATTTAATTCTAAGTATTTTAAACAAATATAGTACCTCATCCGTTTCTAGTGTGGAATTAAGTGTATTTCATTTGGAAGGTAATTAATTGCCTTTGAGGTACGCTCTGTTAAGTATACACAATTTACTTTCTTGTTATATTTGTAAATTTGTATTTTATGTTTTTATTGAAAAGAAATTGTTTAGCGCTAAATAAAATAAATCAATTTAGGGTTTTATAAGCAGAGCTGTGCTCCAGATTTGTGTTCCCAGTTCTGACCGCTAGATGGCAGAGCTACATTGCTTAACATTAAGAGGGTACCATCAGATTGGATTTTCTTCCCCCTGCAAAGGAAAACTCTGAAAGAAGAAATTTCTCTTTTCTTCCTTTTTTCTAAAAAAGGAATCAGTCAGCCATATTTTAAATTGTCTTTTAATATATTGTATAAGCCGTGTAATCATGTGTAATGATCACAAAGTACAGCATCTGTTTGTTAGAAAGAACTTTTAAATTCTAACCCACAATAATTGTTTTAAAAAAGCAGACATGACACCAAGACAACTGAGTGATGAGAGTCTTTTTTAGTAATTGAGATTTATATCCTTTCTGTAGACAGTTAATGTGTTATGTTATTACCTGCAGAGAATTTGATCCGGGGTTCCATCCTGTACCTTTTCTTATTAAATTGGAAATCAAGATACTGGAGCTTGAAGCTATCCATTTATTGTGAAGTCTGTTTTGTTATGTTGTCCTATATATGCTCGTCTATTGTCGATTATGAGCTTGGGGAGTAGATTCTAATTGATAGTGCATGTTAAATACCACAGTGTATTTGAAAGTGACTGTGGTGTTCTGGCCAAATTACACAGTTAAGGAAGTTGTCCTGGGGGAGTAGTCCTCACTTCTAATGAGGCACAACAGTATGATTTCATTGTAGTTTATTTTTTTCATCAACAGAAATTAAAAAGCTGTTCCATTTTAAAGAATGTTTGCTTTGGTTCCAAAATCAGAAATGTAGTGTCTCAGGGTCGGATGCTATACCAAACACTACAGAGTAAGAGTCATTTCTTTTTTCTTAGGCTTTGCAAGAATTAGTATTTGTTATTTTAAAAATCATTTAATTTAGATGTTTTTCTCTGTTAAATAATCAGCAATGTTCCAGTGACTGGAACAACCCATAAAGGGATAGATATTAAGCCGGGCTCGGTGGCTCAGCCTGTTATCCCGCACCTTTGGGAGGTTGAGGTGAGTGGATTGCCTGAGCCCGCGGGTTCGAGACCCGCCTGGGCAGCGAGACCTCATCTCTACAATAAATAAAAAAATCAGCCCTGCGTGGTAGCGCGCGCCTGTAATTCCGGCTACTCGAAAGGCTGAGGCAGAAGGACCGCCGGAGCCCAGCAGGTCGAAGCTGCAGTGGCCGGGAGCGGCCACTGCACTCCAGTCTGGGCGACAGAGTGAGACTCCAACTCAAAAAAAATTAAAATAAAAAAATAAAAGGATAGATATTAAATGATTAGGCTTTGGGGCCATAATGTCTCTGTCACAACTGCTCAGGTCTGCTGTAATAGTGCAAAAGCATTCACAGATATTATATAAATGAACCAGTAAAGCTATGTTTGATAAAACTTTATTGACAAAAACATGTGGCTGGCCAGAATTGACTCAGTGCCATTGTTTGCAACCGCTGAGCTAACTATCAATAATATGACATATTACAAACAAAAATAATTTTAACTTATTTTTAATTATTTCCAAAGGAATCTAATATCTTATACTTAGTACAATCACACAACCACAGGAAGATATGAGGACTAGTGGAGAGACAGCGTATGAACAGGGAACGGCATCAAATTGATCTTCATCCTGATTCTGTTATTAACTAATTTGGTCCTTTTGTGCCAGGCAGTTGCCCTTTCTGTAAAAATGAAAATAAGTTAGTCAAGAACATACCTTTTCTTATCTAATACTATTTCAATTCAAACACTTTCCTAGATGGACAAGATAATTGATTATGCTTCAGTTGCTCAAATCTGTAATTTTAAGATATCATTGACTCTTTCAAGGAGAATTCCTGAACTCATATTAACATAAAAACAGAGATGGCATATGTAAGCAATAGACTAACTGGAAATAAGAATACCTTAACTTCTTGGTGTGAATTGATGTGCCCAGATCCAGCCTGTATTATTTTTAAATGGATTTATATGTATATGTATATGTGTTCAAAGAATCCTGGTATTCACTCCTTATATATAATTTAAACTTTGCCTTTGATTGAGATGGTTTAGGGCACACTCCCCCCATTTAAATAAAATTCAGTGTGCTCTTTGATGAAGTTTTTAAGTGATAAAGAATAGAAGATGATATATTTTTAATAAGTTAAATTATATTTAGAAACCTGATGTTTTATACTCCAATTTAAAATTTTTTAATTTGGTTAAGAGTTTTTGTTCTACTGTGTATACATTGCTCAATCTAAATTCACAGATATTGTATAATGAAACCACACACTACAGCCTTTATTCAGTTTTGAACACATGAAATAATTCTTGGAAATCCAGATTGGGTCATTTAAGGAAAATGACCACGTGGTGTTGTCTGCTGTTGAGTTTGCTTCTGAGCTTCAGGATGGCAGGGTCTCAGCCTGACCTCAGAAAGTGTGGTCTGGAGATAAGTTGTCGATTGCAACTCAAACCAGAACTTTAAAACTTCTCTCTGCATTCTCTTTACCCAGACCTAATATAGCTTTTCTTTCTTTCTTTCTTTCTTTTTTTCTAAAAGAGCAGTTCCTTTTACAGAGTTATAATTCTTTGGAAGACCTTGAACAAAAAGTCAGATATTAATGCTCCTTATTGTGTGATGAGTTGGAAGTAATTGGTAGCATTGGCTTTTCCGTGTGTTATAAGCTGAGTCCGTCAGAACATGGCTAGGTGTGGCAATAGGATATCAGTGAAATTTCTCCTTGAGGTCTTTAGGAAAAAAGTATTATTTACAGTAGCCTTAGCTTACTTGAACATGTTCTGTGATCTTGGAAGTATTTGGGGAAAAATTAAACTTTTAGAAATCACTAGGGTAATGAAATAGGTTTTGAAATGTTACAAAGAGCATTCTTCCCTCTGAAACATCTCTTTGTCTTCTGAGGAACCGAAAGTTGAGAAAAAACGTGTTTCCTCCTCCGAGTGGGCTAGCCAATGATACCTTAAGCATTTCTCTCTGCCATACGTTTCATTAAAACACACAGTGCTATGTTTGCTAGTGAAAAAAATATGGAACAAATCTTAAACAAAATGTAGTGACCCTTCAGACATCTTCCTCAGTGCTCTTGGCTGAAACTACTGGGATGTTACAAAACTCAACCCAATGATGGTAATAGTATTTGCTGTTTATATAACACCAGCTTTCTGAGGAGCTAAATTAACTTCACAAGTATTGTATAATGAAACCTCACACTATGGCCTGGGAGAGGAAAATGAATACTTTCATTTCATTAGAGAAAAATATAACAGGAAAGTTGAAATGGCTTATCTACATTTTCCTTGTAAGCCAGAAATCAAGCCTCCTAAATTCCCTGTTTATATCTTTTTTATATAAAAAATGGATTCCTTTCTTGGCAATAAATATTTATTTGCAATATAAGTACTAATAGGAATATGCTTTACTAGCTGATAGAATATAAGGGATAGATCTCCCCCCACCCCAGTTTACAATCTAAATAAGACAAACAAGACAAGACATGAAAATACAAAGAGTTGGAGTATAATTTGTGCTGCTGAGAAGTAGTTGGCTTCTGGTTTCAATTTCTCCTCTTAAAGGAGTCACATACATATTTCATCCCTTGCATATTTTGGCAATGTATCCGGCTAAGAGCTATAAAGCTATTTAATTTGTTTTTTGGTAAAGCTTTTTATGCCTGGGTAATGGATTTGTACATCAGTTGCAGCCTGTAACATGGCTAAGTATTCTGATTGACAGAACACCCACGTTCAGACTTGTTTATTTTTTGATAAGGAAAATGCCAGCTAACTTAGTCCATATGTGCTCTTCAAAGGATGAGGCTTATTCACATGTAATGGGCAATCATTTAAAAATAAAATGACAAGGACTGTAAGAATAGTAATACATATGAAAATTAGATTGGTTTTTTCCTTTCTTCTACACTTAAAATTTTTTAAAGCATTTAACTGCTACTTTTAAAGTTGATTAATTTAATTTTTAAAAGATTAACAACCCTGTATTTAAACTTTCCATATCAAGAGGTTTAAATTTTATTGTGGGAACTGAAATTTTAAAACATAGGCAGTTTGGAAAATATAGCAAAGTTAAACATATAAAGTATTCTATTCACATGATAAAGCTACTAGAAATCTTATGACTCACCCAAACTACAATGGGATTCAGAAATTACTACAAAACCCCACTTTTTAGGTTTTGAAAGAAAATTGAGATAGCTGTGTCTTCTGAAAATCTTTCCATGACACCTTCTGTGTAGCTGTGCTTGTTGTGCACTTGTTAGAAAGGCAGATCTGGGCACTGTTAATAATTGAAAAGGGTCTGAGATTTACCCTACTTGCAAGCTAATGTGTTAGCTTGCCACAGTTTATGGATCTTGGCAGAGGACATGAGACTCCTGGGTCAGAGACAATAGCTTTTCTTACTTACGGCAAAACAGGAAGCAGGAGATCCAGATCCATGTCTGAGCCTTGCACATCAAGTCTCACAGGAATCATGGAGTGTGACCCAAATTATTGCTGTACACAGCATCAGAGCTTGGAAACTCTGGCTTAGAAAAACTAAATCTGTTACAATGTGCGGCAAACAAACCTGTTTAGCCTTTGCCAAGAAACCAGTGATTATCTTTATACTGGACAGTAAGTAAAACATCCCTCTGCTTTGGAGGGTCACACATCTTTATTGTCCAAGGCTGTTTGATATTCAAGTATCTTTGAAAAACTAGCCTGGAAGAAAAGACAGTGCTTCTGCTTGCAAAACATGCAGAGATTCAAAAGACCCATGGAGAATTATCTCCCAGGAAGTATTTTCATTAATGTTTCATATTATCATGCAAATTTGACATTTCTGGTTCCAATGTTAAGAATTAGTTCCTATAGATTTTTTTTGGTATTACAAATCTGATAACTTACCTCTTGATTAATAATAGAAGTAGTAAGGAACATTATTGTTGATATCTTATTATCAAGAGAAAAAAGATGATCTGGATATGTTTATGCTCTCTCACTGCCCTAGAATTAGTATTACTGCTCCAGCATGTAGTAGGTGACCAAAACATTATTTGGTGGGTGTATTCTAATAAAGATGACAATTTGGCTAACATGAAAAATTATGATCAGTAGTAATTTCAATAGAATACCAATGAATGGCATCTGATATTAATTTAAGTTAAATACAATCTGGTGAATAGAGTACAAAGAGCATATATTAATGGAGAAAATTATGGTAATAAAAATAATACTGTATAATCATTTCATTTAATATTTTGACCTTGTAACGGGTTCAAGAGATTCATAAATATTATACTATTTCATTTTACTTTCATCTCAAACAATGCGGATGTGATTAAACACACATTAGAGAAGTAGCTATTATGATATGATATAGTGTCTTACTTAGAAGAGTAAACAATAATTATGGTATTTTGCTAAAGTGGAAATTAATTTATACTCAAGGTTTTATTGTGACAAATAACAACAGTGCTTGTTATAAATAAATGTAATAATACAGCTTTAACAGTTTTACCATCTTTCTGAGAGATGAAAGTCATTTATTTTGTACAAAAGAGGGGTGAACAAAATGGTAAGGTCCTTTAAAAAGTTAATCTTTTACATTTTACCATTTAAGATGTACAACAGTCTATCAAAATACATTATAATATAGTCTAATACATCTCCTAGAACAATGCCAATAACTTACCTTTTAGTATGGTTTTTCCCATCTCACCCCTTGCTCTGCCTCCTTACATGACCTAACCACCATCCTGAATGTTGTCTATTCCTGTTACTAAGTTACTAACGTCGTCTTTGCAAGTTTTTAATTTACCAGTCTCTTCCTCTCAAGAGTGTTTTTTCCCTTTACTCATGTATTTGTTCATGGAATTGTGCTAAAGAGGATATTTTCAAAGGCGAGAGTGGCCCGTCCCTGTTTCTTGGAAGTGCTCAGTTTGGCAGGTCGTCACGATGGTTTGGGCGTGCAGTTGAACTGCTGATATCAGACAAGAATTCGAGAGTTGCTACAGCATCCATGGTGTGTCAGCACCGTCTCATCCCGCTCGAGCACATGTGTTTCTCCCAAGACTCTGTGGCGATCTTGGAGAAAGCCAGAGATGAAATAACAGATTGTCTTCACACGCTTCCGTCCGTCCAGCTCTGAATTTTATTGGCACGCATGTCTCCCACTGTTTGTTTAATTAAGTGAAATCTGTTTCTCTTATGGCCCGTGCAGAACGTGAAGGATGATGGGCAGCACGTGTGGCGACTCAAGCACTTCAACAAACCTGCCTACTGCAACCTCTGCCTGAATATGCTGATTGGCGTGGGGAAGCAGGGCCTCTGCTGCTCCTGTGAGTAGTGCCCTCTGCCTGGACCTCATCGCTGGGGAGGAGGAAAGGCTAAGGCTAACCTCATGGGATGGTCCTATTTCTGGATGGAGAACTGGGCAATGATCCGGACCCTCCCTGTACCTATGATTGATATTTTCCCGTAGTCTGTCTCTGAATGGGTTTAGGTTACTCTAGTTTTTTATCTCTTCAGTTTTGGAAAAGAACTAGGGACATTTTCCAACTCTTTCACCATTTTTTCCACTGTTTCATGTATCCATAACTACTATTTCTACTGTAATTATTTGAAGATTTATATCTTTTTAAAATATTTGTCCTCCCCTCCATCCTGGGTTAACCACTTTATTCACATAGACTTTTATGAGTCCATTCCTTTAGGTCCTTTTACAAAACAGTTACCTTAATTGATTAAAAAGAGAGTTGCATCCAAAGTAAGAAATCACAGGGAATGCAAACTGATTTTTATATCTCAAGTGCATTACTTTTACTGCTGACATGAAGAAAATCTTCATATAGGAGGCCATCTGCTGTGTCTCATGCCTGTCATATAGAGTCCTGGCTTGAGGCCATGAGTTCAAGACTAGTCTGGGCAACATAGCGAGACCTTACCTCTACAAAAAACTTTTTAAAATTACCCAGGCCTGATGGTACATGCCTATAGTCCCAGGTACTTGAGAGGTCAAGGTGAGAGGATCATTTGAACCCAAGAGTTGGGAGCTACAATGAACTATGATTTCGTCACTACATTCCAGCCTGGACGACAGAGGGAGAACCTGTCTCTAAAAAGAAAGAAAAAAGGAAAATCTTCATATATGGCTAATGGGTATTTGAATTCAAAGCATTGATGATTCACGAGTTGTGGTCATTTTTAAAATTTCAGTTCACTCATCTTTGCAATTTTCACCTTATTCTATTGACTCAGTACTGCCAATTAGAATTTCCTAATAGTGTTACATAACAGTTAATTTTTAAAATCACCTAATATTTTTAAATTTACAGCATATTTTGCCTAAGAAAATTTTACATTTCTTGATGTTTCTGCTAAAGTTGAGTAGATAGTGTATCCTCTTCACTTAAGTTTGAATTTCTTTCTTAATCCAGCAATTTCTCACTCTGTGCACTTTTCTGCTAAGGTCACTAGAGACACCCCATTTTTCTGCCTTTAATTGAACCTAATTTCTTACCTGGCTTTCATACAATACATGGTATATATATATATATACATATATATATATATATATATAACACACACACACATACACAAACACACACACACATTTGTATATGTATATATATTATACTCTATATAATATATGTATATATGTTATGTATACATATGAAAATCATGTAATATATAATATGATACAATATTATATGATATAATATATATTATGTATATATTTAACTAGCAACTTTTTTGGTAGTATTGTTTGTAAGCCCTCAGATGTATTATTCAACATTAAATACATGTTTTAGTGCCATGTATGCATGTGCTTTCTCAAGTGCTTAAGGATTTTAACAAGGTTACATGAAATTTGCCATGTGTCACATTAGAGGACAGTTTCTGATGGCAGTATTTGAAAAGTTAGTTGCACTAGAACATTCTCCATATACAAAGAAAGTGCTTTGTTTTAAAAACTCTATTTTTTTTAAGGAAATAATTTTTTTATGGGAGATTCTACTAATAGGAGCATATGAAACAAAATAATAGCTCTCAAATAGGATGAGTTATGTTATATAAAGAGTGATCATTTTGCTTATAAATTTTTACTGATTAGTGTAGTGAATTCAATACTCGACACTATTGCTAATATAGAAGAGAAGAGGAAGCATGTTTCTCCTTCAGTGTTGCCAAAGAAAGCCACAGAGACTATTTTGGAATAGCTTGCTATATCGATATTATGTGGATTTAATGTTTTTCACTGTAATTTTAGGCAGTGGTTAGTTTTTGTTTTTATTGAGAGGGCTGCATTTTTAAATTCAATTTTATGCTTTGCTCTCTCTATTTATGTATTTAGAACTCTTACATTGGAACCAGCATTTTATTAAAAGAACATTTGTATGTGACCCTAATTGTGTTTGGACTCATACCATAAAAAAAATTGAGTATAGAAAAAAGGAGATGTTTTGGTTCTACAACACATATTACATGTATACATCCACACATATATTTGCTTGTTTATGTGTATATATACATGTTTACATATAAACATAAATTTTATGGCTATTATATGCTGCTAAGCCAAAGAATTTTTTTTTTTTTTTTTGACGAACAACGCCATGATAGCAAGTGAGGGATGAATTTTTACTGAAGACCTGGCATGTATGATGAAACCCCTCCTCTGGAAATAGACTAATCAGGCATTTAAGGTTTAGATAAATCAATAGACAAAATAGAATAAACTCAAGGGGCTTTTATTCCCATGCCTGCCAGCTGCTCTCATGCCTATACTTTGTAAAATATAGATCTCTTTCTTCTAGCAAATGACACCAAGCCATTTGGCAGTCATCAATTTGTCTTTAATATTTTTGTCATCTGGGAATTATTGTGAAAAATTTGAGTGAGGACTGATTTAATTAAGCGTTTCCTGCTATGCCATGATAGAGGAATCTTGGTTTTTCACATGCATAATATTTCCTGTACTAATTGGCCTTTTGTGTTCCATGGTAAAAACAGTCGACTTGGATTTTTCCTTGATGTGGTTGATTGGATTGATTAGGGAACAGTGAATATGAAATGAAGTTCTGTTAATGTCATTCTTTCCCTATAAAATTGCCATCAGGACCAGGATTGACTCTGAATGTGTGTACCTGTTTCCTTTCAGTCTGCAAGTACACAGTCCATGAACGCTGTGTGGCTAGAGCCCCTCCCTCTTGCATCAAGACCTATGTGAAATCCAAAAAGAATGCTGATGTAAGTCTGTGGCCATACCTGCTTTCTGAAGGTGGTGATTACAGACGCCTCCTCTTACCACGATGTCATTCTGTTCTAGGTCATGCACCATTACTGGGTTGAAGGGAACTGCCCAACCAAGTGTGATAAGTGCCACAAAACGGTAAAATGTTACCAGGGCCTGACAGGACTGCATTGTGTTTGGTGTCAGATCACAGTGAGTAACATCGGAAAACGATTCCCAGCATTCACTAACATGAAGACGGTGTGTCTCGTACTCTTTGATAATCCTACTCTGGAAGGGATTCTTGAAATTTGGAATAAGCATAAAACCATGGAAGCTTCTTGGTTCATCTGGCTTGCAAAGGCATAGGGCTGGAGTCGGATTTATCCTCATAGAATCCAAAACTTTAGAGCTGGTGACAATCTTAGAGATGATAACATCACCTGATTTTCCAACTGTGTTCCTGGGAGCTCCAGAGATCAGAGGCCATGGGTAGGAGTAGGCAAGAGAGCAGGGTATTGATTGGATAGAATTCAGATTCTCTCCCCCTCACAACCCTATTTTGTAAGGGTTTTCTATTTTACCTATTATAAATGTATTTTAATTACAGGATCTGTGGGTTTCAAAGGGGTAGAAAAATGACCAATATACAATGATTTCATTATATAATAGAGACCCCAAAAAGTTAAGCACATTGTCCTTGACTACACTGCTAAGTGGAGATGGAACTAGGCTATATGAAGGGAAACCCAAAACAACACAGAACTATCTTTTGGAGGATGGGCCCTTTGTAGAACAGGCTTCCCACACCAGTTAAGTATTCTAGGAACTCATTGCCAACCCATTGGCAGCATTGTTGTGAGAGACTGCATTCAGATGAATTTGTTTTTGGAGATTCTTTCCATGTGTTAACCCATACCACAATGGGTGATTTACATGAACAACCAGCCCTGCTGCTAAGTGTTCAGCAGTTTGTGACCACAAACAGCATGACCCTCTGGCTCCACCCTCCCTATTCACTTGATCTCATCCCTAGTGATTTTTTTTTTTTAATTTCCCTGGATGAAAGAGTCCTCAAAGGGAAATGTTTTGCCAATGTGAAGAGGTGAAACAAAAAATGGTAGAAGCACTAAAAACCATAAAAATTGATGAGTTCAAAAACAGTTTTGAGCAGTGCAAAACGTGTCTTGATAAGTATATTGCATCAAATGGAGAGTACTTAGAAGGTGACTGAAGGTTAAATGTGTAAGAATAAATACACAATTTTTTATAAAGAAATTCAGGACTTTCCCATTGTATTTTAGGTCCTAATCCTTCTAAGAACACCCTTTTTTCCCTCCTTCCCAATATGTTGTTGCCATCCTCCTTCACTTAAATCAAAAATTATGGGGTAAGAGATACCGATGCAAATGCTAGTTGTAAATGGTGTTCACAATTAAGAAAAAAGAGATAAACTGATCTTTTCTGGGAAACTTGAGGACTCCACGGAGTTCAGAGGATTGTCAAATCTGACTTCAAATAGTTTTTGGAATAAATACAGTTGTTATTTGGTACCTCTAGAGTTACATGCTTAATTTCTAGAAATTAATTAGAATCAAACATTTTCAAGAATAGCTATTTTTGATAATATAGTCCAAAAAACTTTTATGAGATTTAAGTTTGTTTTTTTTTCTGTTTGTTTTTTCAGCATAGTGTTTCAGTACTTCTGTTACAGGGCTAATGATTTTGCTTTTGTCAGAATAAAACAGTAGGGGGTCCTGAATCTGTTAAGTAAATGAATTTCCCTACAGTGCCCCCCCAAGGCGCCACCCCTTACACAGTTATTAAACAGTTTTCTTAAACACACACACACACACACACACACACACACACACAGGATAATGAGAAAAATAATCTGGATTTCATTTCAAAAATACAATTAAGTGCTTTTAAACAAATGAACACGCTTTCTTTGATCATATTCAACTATTACTCTCTTAGATCATATTTACATTTGAAATTTTCTCAATTATGAAAGATAGTCTTATTTTGTGAAGTGTGGTTACTAAAAGAAAATGCCTAACAATTATTTAAATTACATTCATAAATTACTCAAATTTTACTTCTCAGTTTTAAGATCACAACTATTTCACTGTGTAAAAAATTCATGCAATTTTTAAAAATCAAAATTTTTTTGCTAAGTATTTACAAAATATGAATATTTTTCAGATTTATAGGAGACTCTTCCTCTTATTTTTTCTTCTACTGAGATTTTCACTGATTAGAGAATACCAGAAATGTTTTCTTCTTTGTATCTCAAATTATGTGCCACTCTTTATATATTTCAGATGCAATATCTTACCTTATTAGTCATTTTTTATTTCTTTAAATAAATTTTTTTAAATGTGTACTCAGCTTAAACATCCAAAAACATGCATTGCAATTTCTCATAATACGAAAGCTTTTAGAGCTTTTAGAATTTTCTTTATTTGATTTATCTTTCCCTTTCTCCATTTAATCTCCTTGAAGTCTGTCTTCTCTTCTTTTCATTCTATGGGACTCACTATTCTCAAAGTTATCATTGCAAGGGCTCTCTTAATGGTCCTCAAGGTGTCTTAACATTTTTTTTTTGTCTTATATTCCATTTTGTTTTTCTCATTCTCTTTTTTTTGTTTTGTTTTAATGGTTCATCTTATCTGTGACTCAACAATCGACACCGTATTCTACCACTCCCAAGTTATGCATTTATCTTTGGTCTTGGTCCTAACTCTAAGCTTTCAAAAATGAGGCACTTCTTTTTCAAGGAAAGAGGGTGTCACTTCTAAATAAATGTACTCTAAAATCTAAAGAATTTTCTGTCTCAAATCAGGCCAGACATTATGCTTCCAACATTTTATTCTTACACTAAATATCAATGACTATATGAAGGTGATTCTATGTGTCACTATTGCAAAGCACAACACAAGCAGCAAGTGTCTTAAATCTCAGAGTTCACATTTTAAATCAGTCATTCAATTCCCAAGTTCTATTCAGGAAACAAGGTTAACCAGGGAGCCCTGAAGAAGTTTAAGTAGAGTCAGGGGGGTAAAAGAGTTTCCCTCTTACTAAGCTTTCTCAAGTCCTGAGTCTTCTCACCGACCTCCTCAGCTTTATTTGTTGTAAACTGTGAGCTCCAGCAGTGGTTTTTTGTTTGCTTTTTTACTGCTGTTGTTTTGTTGTTTTTTGTTTTGTTTTGAGTTGGGGTCTTGCTCTGTCACCCAGGTTGGAGAGTCAGTGGCACAATCGTAGGTCACTGCAGCCACAACCTCCTGGTCTCAGGTGATCCTTCTGCCTCAGTCTCCCAAGTAACTGGAACTACAGGTGTGATACCTAACTCATTTGTTAATGAGGATTAAGTAGGTAAAAGATCTGTATAGATACGTTTAGGACAAGACATAATAATTGCTCAGTAAGTAACAATTATCTTAGTGAGCATTAGGTGAAATACTAGGTGGGTATCTAAAACCAACCCCTGGTGCCCAGAGGGCCCTCAATGAATAGTACTTTTGCCTTTTCTCTCTCACCTCGGGAATGATCAATAGTTGCCTAATCTAAGACAGAACAGCACCTACATACACTAAACACGTCCAGAATCATGACGGCCTGAATCTCACTAAATCCTAAACCAAGCTAATTGGGTTTTTTTTTAATCACAAAGAGTAACTACTATAACTCTTTCATTCTCTCAGACATGGTATCATCATGCTTCCAGTCATTGGAAAAAGAGTTAGAAGTCAATGTCTTTTACCTTTGTCTCATGCACACAACCTATCACTGAGGCTTGACATTTCCCACTTAAAATATCTCTCAGATTTGAGGTTTTGTCTCCACATTCACAGCCCTAGTGCAAGCTCTTAGCACCTCTTGACTAGATTAGAGTCAGAATCTCTTGGCTCATCTCCCTAACAGAAGGTACTTTTCCTATAATGCAGGCTGCATACCACCTCCAGAAAGATCTTCTGAAAATACTAGTTTGTTATCATATGCCTTCTTTAGCAACCTATAATAGTTCTGTGATTAGAAATGCAGCCCTCAACGCCCCCTACCTCAACTTGGCTTTTCATTCCTCAGAAATCAGACCTAAACCTCAGTACATGACTGTATGTGATATCCCTCCCATCCATACATGCTCTGCGGTAGCTGTGACTGTCCCTTGGGGAGGTCATGTCTCCTTCATGCTTATTAATTTCTTCATCCCTATCTTAAATTCTAACTACATCTCAGAAACCAAGTTTAGTTCCATGTCTTCTTTGAAATTTTCCTTGACATTAATACTATATCCTTTTTCTGAAGTTTCTGTAATTTTATTTCACACCCAGAGGAAAGACCAAAATGCTCTCCTATGGTTTCCCTCGGCGTGCTAACCTTGTCGGCATGGCTAGACTATAATTGACCCCAGCTGGAGGCCGATGGCTCACATTTTTTTTCCTAATCACCCAAAGTTCTTGACAAAGTGCTGAGTTTAGAGAAGTCCTCAATAAAATCACCTTCATCACCGATATACTGTCCTTATGATTAAATATTGAATTCCAAACACATGCCTTCCATTAAGTTTTGTTTTATAATATAATCCTATAATATTCAAACCTGCATCAGTTATGCAGGTAAATTTAAACAAATACTTAAAGATAAAAATCCATTTCACACCCATTTTTCAGTCTGCACTTGTGGCTTCTTGATATCATACTAGTTTGCCATCTTATAGGTATAAATTTAGGCTCTTAGAATGATGTTTTATCACCCTTTGTAAATCTAACTACTTAAAAAATAAAAACAGAAAAAGTCTAAAAAGGAACAGTGGAAAACTGCCTTCTACCACTTAAGCAAGCAGTTTTCTGCGCTTTATATTTACAATCCTTTGATCCAGGCCAAATTCTCTCATTGGTCCCTTTCCTCTCTCTTGCTTACCTTCTGCCATCATTGGGATACCACTGTTTATATCTGTTCATTTCTGCTGAGTGTGTTTTCTTGACATCCTATGCAGAACATGTTGTGAATTGCTCCTGGTCATGGTAAACTATTCCTGGTCTAGTAGGACTCATTGGGACTGGAAGTTAATACGTTTTATTTGGGCTTGAAAAAAGAATGCCTAATTCATGGGTATGAATTATTAAACTTTTGGTGCCACAGAGGGATACTTCTCTTGTTAAAATAGTAAAGTGCTAACTATAATGTTTAAAGGTTTCCAGTACCATGGAGAGGTTGATGCTTTAGCAGATGCCAGCATTAGGAAACTCTCTGAAATTACAAAATATTAGGGCTACTAGAATATACTAACCAACAAATGTGTCCCTCCAAATCAGGCCTTCAAGGTTTTTTTTTGAAAGAGAGATTTAGTTCTCTGGGTTTTTTAAAAAAATGTAAATTCCTATTAACATTCATTTTCTATTTTCCCTCCTTTTGACTTCTTAGATTCCACTCTTTTCTTCTCTGACCAGCACATTCACTCTTTCCCCATCTCTACCTTCAGATACGTACAGGCATAGACACACACACTCACACATTTTCTTTTTCTTCCTAACTTGAGACAGCTTTTTCTAATAAACATAGATCTGGCTCTAAATTAAGTGCTACTGGAACTTGTCATAAACTCTGAAATTATTTCCAAGTGTTTAATTCACTTCCAGGAAAAGCTGGCTCCTATTATATGACTTTCCTCCATATGGGACTGAATCCCTTAACATAAGTGGAAATTTCTGGCTATATTTAAGAAATGATCTGAGGATCCCTATGCTTTATCTTTAATTGTGAGGAAAGACAATGGTAAATGAAATTTTTGTTAAACTTTAAAAACACAGGTAAAATTTCTTTTCTCTGGTGTGTACTGTTGACTATTTTACTCAAGGAGCAGGATTCAACAGTGTGCTAGTTTATTCTTGATGAAGATCTTTTTGTGTAGGATTTTGCTGAATTGGGGTCTGGATTATCTTTAAGACAATTGTCAGTCTTCAGCATCTTATTTACATCAAAAAAGATTCAGCTGTACCTTTTTCTTATATTCTTGTCTATGAAATGTCATGATGACAAGTTTAATTAGCTTATTGCTGATGATATTCACTATATAAAAACTATTGAAAAAATGTACATACAGGAAAGTATACATGTCTTGAGGGTAGAGCACAACAAATTTTGCACAAAAGTAAGCAGCATCAGATCAGGAAGCAAAATATTATGAGTAACCTGAAGAAAAAACTTTTTAAACTTTTGAAGTCCATTATATAGTTGTATTTTATTGAGTTTACTTTTTTTAGAAATAGACTTTCATAGAGCTGTTTTAAATTTACAGCTATAATGATATTCACTTTTGTACTTGATAGTTGTGGGAACTATATGTATTTTCACTTTGACTTTCTTTTGTCCTCAAATATGTCTTTGAACAATATGGTACAAAAACTGGACCAGGCATACAAATTTGACTCACAGTTTGTAAAATGATCAGTACTCCTAATAAGATGTCTTCAACTCTGACACTTCTGACTACAGTGTCCTGATGTTCTTGGTCACACAGGTATATTTACCAGCTGCCAGATTCTGGTCTTAATAAAAGCATAAAGGATTACTATATATTATTAGTTAATATAGACTCCTTGGTTGGTAGAATATTCTTGCACTATATATCCCTGTTTCATAGATGATAATATGATCAATGGCCTTCTTTTAGACCTTGTTAATGCTTAATGTCTCTGGAGGACTGTTTTGCAAATGCTCAGACAAAACTCAGGGATACAGGCCACAGTAGTAACCAAACTGGGAAGTCCTATTAGGACTCTTTAGACCTGTAGAGGCCAGTATTTCATGATATCAATTGTCAGTACCTATGCTCTGAAACTCCCAATCTCCAATAGGAAGAGTTATCCTTGCACACTCACTGCAGTAAGCTCGTCAACTGTATGATTCTACCTGAATCCTCAGTTCTATCCTTTGGCCTCGGAAAATGGCCTAAATGACAAAACACTGTCATTAAATTTATTTTATTTTTGCCATTTTTTCTTACATGTGGCAACACTCAAAGTTAGTTGTCCTTTACTATGGCAACTAGTTACAGATTGTTGAAAACACATGGGATGGGGAGGCCGTGGTCTCAGACTGTGCTTCTGTGGTCAGCGTTCAAGTGAGACTCACAGGGCCTTGATCCTCTGACCTTTAGAGTCATGTGTGTAGCTTTACACTGTACTCAAGAGTTCAAGTTCAACACTTTCTTGCTCTACACACACACAGATTTTTATCTTGGATCTTGTGTGTAGAGGATTCTGAGAGTCTGTTTCTCAGTTTTAAAGCAGTTGTATAAGCTTTTTGTACAACTTTTTGTACAAAAGCTTTTTCTCTATGACATTCATGGTACAGTAGGGTCTTAAGATACATTGTCTTTGGTTTTAGTGAAAGTTTCACAGTGTTTTTGCTTCCTAGGACTACTATAACAATGTCTTTGCTTCCTAGGACTACTATAACAAAATGCCACAAAATAGGTGGCTGAAAACACCAGAAACTTATTTTCTCGTAGCTCTGGAGGCTAGAAATCCAGATGTTAACAGGGCCATGCTTTTTTTGAAGACTTTTGGGGAAGAATTCTTTTCTGTCTGTTTCTAGATTCCGGTGGCTGCCAGCAATCCTTGGCACTCCTTGACTTGTATCTGTGTCACTTTAAATCTCTAGCTCTACCCTCACATGTCCTTGTCTTCTCTGTGTCTGTCCTTGTCCATATATCCCTCTTCTTATAAGGACACCAGTCATTGGATTCAGATCCAACTTAATCCAGTATGACTACATCTTATCTTGAATACACCTTGAATACAAAGATCTTATTTCCATAAAGTTCACATTCACAAGTACCAGATGTTGGGGCTTTGATCTATCTTTTGTTGGGAGACCCAATTCATCCCACAACACTTGGTAATCTGTTACCTCCAAATCCAAACATCTAGGGCCATGATTTATTCTAAGAATGTGGATTATTGGGTCCAATAAACTAATAATACATTTTAAGTCAGTCACTTTTCTTACTTTGAGGAAGCTAGGCATATTAATTTGCCCAACCAGAATGTTGTTTATTTAGTTTCATTGTGCATTAAACTGCTTCTTTATCTTCAACACCTCTCGCCTCTTGACAAAGACCGTTAGTACACAATAACAACAATAAGCCATTTTTTAAATAATGAAGTTTATATGCCACTGAGAAGCAGACTGCTAATTATGGATGAATGTGCAAAGATACTTTTATTTCATGTAATGCAACCAAATGTGCATTAATTATGGTACAAGTAACCTTAACTCCAAGGCAGGGAGTTAACATAACAACTGTTTTAGATTCTAGAACTACAGAAATACCCCTTCACTACAGCTCTATCACCAACAATAAATCAGCACTCATTAAAACCTTTTTAGTTGATAATTAGCTGCTTATGAAAGTATGTGTGTTGTGGCAATTAATATAGGCAAATCTTAAAGGAGATGGCTTTCAGTTCAAAGCTGAAAAATGATGTGGCTTTTAAAAAATTTTTGAACAAGATATGTTGTCTTGTCAAAGTATATAATTTTTTCTACAATATGAATGGTTCATATCAAATTGATATGTAGTGAAGGAGAGAGAAATCCCTAGATGCCTTCAAGCAAGTATTATTTTATCAAATCTATGTGATTCCAATAAAATCTAGCACTCAATTTAAAAAGACCACTATTTAATACACTATGCTATAATACTTTAATTTAAACTTTGATCAGGGTTGGTAAAAATATTAGTTTAAGCTCACACATATTGAAAAATAAATAGCATATTATATGATTATACACAAAATCAATGTCGAGCTGGTAAATACAATATAAAGATAAATTTTTATAATGATAATCATCTTCTTTTATTTATATCCTGCTCCTACTGAGATGAATCTCTGGTTACATTTACATATTGAATTACAAAGTTAAAACTAATGATGGGATCAATTATGCCCCATACTGAGCTGTGCACTTTGGAATGACTTTGAGAAAACAGGAGGGTCAAAAAAAAAAAAAAAAAAGCATACACAGTGCACAGTGGTTTCAAGATTATGCTAACAGATAAGCAAAGGAAGGACTTTAATGGACATGAATTTGTATTTATCAAAGAAATCAGGTTTCTTGGTGCAAAACCTGACGTGCCTTTTGAACACATATGTTTCTGAGAATTAGAAAATATATAGTCAGGGTCACAGAAGTTGCTAAATGGTTTGTTTAAGGTACACATTTAAGGGCAAGTGTAATGTAAATTCCTTTATAATTCTGTTTATTTGTTCTTATACATTTAAAAATGTTATTTTATTGTACTTGCCATATTTCTGTTGAAAGATAGTCTGCTCCACATTTGTTGTTGTGTGGAATTTGATATGACCTCCCCCCTCCTTTCTTCTTTTCTAGCTGCATAATAAATGTGCTTCTCATCTAAAACCTGAATGTGACTGCGGACCTTTGAAGGACCATATTTTACCACCCACAACAATCTGTCCAGTGGTACTGGTGAGTTTTTCCTTATCATTCTTCTATAGCTCAGGGGTGCTGTGACTAATCAGTGCAGTATATCATTAAAGGCTTCCAGGACTAATTTTTCATTAGTCAAGGCAGAACTATATAGATCCAAAATACAAAATTACTTTGGAGCAAAACACCTTTGCTCACATAATTCTTTTGCCTTCATGCCACAATACACTTTTTAGAAAGGTATGTTCCAACTCAAGCTGACTCAGGTTTTATCACTTAGTCATGCTGTACTTACCAGAAATTGTATAGGCAGAACACTTCTACATTTTACATATTTTATAGATCTAGCTTCCCAGAATAATGAAGTTATTCTTATGGACAATTTTGCCGGGGATGCACATTATATATCTGCAAGTTGAGGGCTCTAATCTAGGTCAGAAGCTACCTAAAATGATGACACAAACCTTGAAGAACACTATGCATTGCCATAACTGTTTTTTTATTTTTTATTGAACAATAAATTTAGCTACCTGAAAATAATTACTTAATTCAATAAATATAAAAGCAAAAAATACATGAGTAACTTTGAAAAGAATGGACCTTGATGGTAAGAGAAGCAGATATTCATAGACAGTATTCATATTCATATTCAAAATTCAAATTATATTTATAAAGTGAAACACTTATTTTACACAACAACATATTTTATATCCATAACGCACTTCTCATTTTGAAAAACAACATGAAAATTAAATGGCTGGGATTTCAGTGTGATATAATAAATATATAACAACTGAGAAATTTTAGACAAGTACTTTTCTAAAGGTCATCCTAGAAATTAATCATATTACTCAATTTGCACCCACTTATGATCCATTTTATAATTATCTGTAAAATACTTGTATTTCAAATGCCTTTACTTAACAAAAAATTATTAAAAACTCTTCATTTTCTCCATCTAAAAAAGTAGAGGAAAAGAAAATACCTTCATATTGCTGAGAATAGCAATAACTGATTCTATTTTTTTCTTCATGTAGGATTTTTTAAATCCTGGAGTAAATAATATTAATTAGAAATAATGAGAGCCATATAAGATTACTTTACATTTAAGTGACTTTAGTGTCATTTTTATTCTTTAAGTGTTATCTTGACGAGAAAGGACTTTTACAATTTTTACATTTTTAAAATTCTTGATTAAAAGTGTAGTAATTTTACTGGTTTAGATGCATTCTTGGTCTCAGATTTTAATTCTAAGAAGAAAACTGTTATGTCATCCTACTGTCCAACTGTCTGTGAAGACCCTACTCAGTTCAGTGAGCCTGGGGGCTACTTCTTGATGATCACTTATGCCATCCTCTGGTCACACAAAGTCAAACACAAGGTAGATTCTTTTATTATTATATCACTTCTTTCTTTGAGAGAATCAAAGATAAAGAATATGTATTACATGAATATTCTTGTCTTCTAACAGTCTTGTAAACCCTTTTTAGACATTTTAGATTTTGAAGATTTATTTTCAATCATTTACTATTCCTACAGCTTTAATAGTGCGTTGTATCTCAATATTTTTCATTTTACTATTTTTGTGGTACTGTCTACTCTGAAGTTACTTAGTAGCTACTGAACATTTTATCCTTCACCAACGTCTAACTTTCATTGAATTTCATTATACCTCATGCTCCTGATCAATTTTCTGGATGCTTCTTTTCAGTACCTTTATGATGTACCTTTCAGTACTTTTATGATACCAGTCTGCCCATGTTGGTTAATCCCTGTGTTCTACCCTCCCTGCCATGGTTTTCCACTCTCAATGTTCTTCCCAATAAGATCCTGTTTATTCAGTTGATTTTATTACTATGTTAATTTATATTCAGCTCAGCTTTTTTTCTGAATCCCAGTCCTATAGAACTGCCACCCAGAGATCCCATATTATTTTAAGTGCAATGTGTCCAATATATTATGATAATATTAATATAATAATGAGTACTATCATTTATTGAGCATATATACCATGCCAGACTGTATGCTAAAAATATTAATTTATTTATTCAATAAATATTTGTTGATTGTTTAGTACATGCCAAATGGTATTATTGGTAGAAAAAAAGACAGTAAAAAGCAAAAACAAATCCTTGTCCTTATAGAGTTAACATTTCAGTGGGTGTAGGCAATAAACAATATAAAAAAGTAAATTATTTAGTACCTAGTTGTACTAAAATACATATTAATAGAAACAGAGAGTGGAATGTTGATTACCAAGGGCAAAGAAATGAGAAGTGTAGAGATGTCTGTCAAAGAGTACAAAGTTGTGTTTGTGTAAGATGAGTAAGTCTAGAGATCTAATGTACAGCAGACTACAGTTAATAATATAGTATTATATACTGGAAATTTGCCAAGAGACTAGATTTCAGGAACTCTTACCACAAAGAAAAGATAACTATGTGAGGAGATGAATGTGTTGATTTTCTTGACTGCACAATGTATTGTATTTTGTCAAAAGACAAAATTTCAGCAAACTTAGCTATATAGCTAATTGGGTTTTATTCATGATCCACGAAGCAGGGCAACCTCCAGTCTACACAAAAGAATGAGAGCTAACACTGGACAATAGCAGAATCGCAGATTTTGTAGAGTGGGAACAAGAAAACAGAACAATACCCCCCCAAAAGAAAAACAGTTAATTGGTTAACCTAAGGTTACTTTAGGTTACTTTTTTTGGAACGATTTAGCGCAAATGGGACATCTTTATTATGAACTCAGGTAGACTGGAATCTTTGGTTTTCAGGAAAAAAAAAACAGGTTTATTTTGGAATCTATCAGCTTTCTTAAAGTTTCACTTGACTATGTGACACTTGGCATGAGTGACTCCATTTTGGTTTGGTCTGGTAAATTAGGGCCTGGTGTAGGTTCAAAATAATGGCCTCTCATAATTTGTATTTAACAATATCAAAACATTATCTTGTATGCCATAAATATACACAATAAAGAAATACTGGTTTGTGTTTTCACTGTGAAGGACAAAATTAAAGCAGAGAAATAAGGAAAATATGGGGGATGCAATTATATACAAGAGGCGGTCAAGACGGAGTTCACTGAAGACTTGAGTGAAGAGTTGAGTGACTTGAGGGAGTTACCCTGTGGCTAACTGGAGCCAAAGCCGTACAAAGTGAGGAGCCAGCAAGGACACAGACTCTGAGGCAGTAAACACTTGGCAGATTGGAAGGTCATAGGGGAGATTAGTAACTGCCCCTGAGTGTATAGAAAAGGTCAAAGATGTAAAATTTTCATGTTGTGCAGGACGGTTTAGACCATTATAAGCTCTTTAGCGTTTATCTTGAATGAAATAAGATGCCATTAGAGGATTCTGACCAGAAGAAGGAATCATCTGAAATTAAAAAAAAATAACAATCTGCCATATTGAGGGGATAACAATCGAAAGAAAATATAACACCTAAGTTTTCTCATGGAAATAGAAAGCTGGGTCCTCCGCTAATGTGAGGATGGTATGAGATGTCTGATGATTGGAAAGAATTATGCAGCAGTTACTTAGGAAAGTGGGAGCCAAGTGGATCAAAGAAATGTATAGTAATTGACAGAGTTAAGAGCACCTACCTGGCCACTGGTTTTGTTAAGCTCTGGCCCGGCCATGCTTCCATTGAGCTATGACTGGGTCATGCATCTCTTTTCACTCTAGCCCCCTCCTCAGTCTGAGGGAGGTAGATATCTCTTTTCTCTCTCTCTCCAATCTACTTGCTCAATAAACTGTATCTTCCAATCTAAAAAATAAATAAATAAAGCAGTTAGCTCGAGTTAATACCATTCATTTAGTACAAGCCCAGTAAGCTTGGATGAGTATATTTCTCTAGTCAAATTCAGTCATATTTCTCAAGTTACGTTCCAACTCCAGTAATGGACTAGGTACAACCTGGTCTTATAGAGACTATATTTTTTGAGTTGAGAATGTATGCAAATCAGCGATTATAAGGAGTTATCCATGGAGTTTAAGCAATTTATCATTGTTCCCCTTTTACATATGAGGAAACCGAGAAACAAAGAGGTTAAGTACATTTCTCAGTGTCACATGACTAGTATGTGGCAACTCAGAGTTGAACTACAAGTGGTATCACTTCAGAGTCATGAAACCCTCATGCCCACGCTTTTTCCAAATCCCAATAAAGGCCTTCTATCTGCCTTATCTCAGTGACTAGAACCTTCATGCCCCAACTTTCCTAAGCCAGGAACCAAAGAATCATTTTGGTTTCTCATCTTTAATATCAAATTAATAATGAGGTTACATACTATTCTGATGTTCTTCATCCTGTCTTCTTTTTTTTTTTTGAGTTGGAGTCTCACTCGGTCACCCAGACTGGAGTGCAGTGGCCGCTCCCGGCCACCGCAGCCTCGCCTGCTGGTCTCCGGCGATCCTTCCGCCTCAGCCTTCCGAGTAGCCAGAATTACAGGCATGTGCTACCATGCCCGGCTGATTTTTTGATTTATTGTAGAGATGAGGTCTCGCTGCCCATGCGGGTCTCGAACCCGCGGGCTCAGGCAATCCACTCACTTCAGCCTCCCAAAGGCGCGGGATTACAGGCTGAGCCACCAAGCCCGGCAGTCTTCTTACTTATACCTGATTGTGACAGCCTTCTATGCCGCCCTAAAACTTTTTCTCCAGGACTCTCCCAGAAGCATCCTTGCTGAACTACTTCCTTTCCATCCATCCCCAATCTACTCCCTGGGTTCACTTGCAAAAATGCAAATACGATATGTCTCTGCCATGTAAAAAGTATTGCTGGTAATTCCCTATTGGAATTCCAAACTCAGCCTACTGTAAAAAATATCTTTTAACTAGATTAACTCAGCCAATCTCTCACATACCACCTTACATACTAGAAATCAAGGATATCTGAACTGCTTGTAATTCTCTAAGTACATTGGTTCTCTCAAACCTTTGAGATCTTGTATATGTTAACAAATCAGTCTAAATCATTTCACTTTAAAATTTCCCCTCACAAATGTATGATGGTGGAGCCACTTCGAAA